CTGGTTAAAACAGCGAACGAGCAAGGGCACTGCCGCCTGTGCCCCACGTGGAGCCCCTGCCGTGGGGCGGGAGGGGCCACAGGAGCTGACCCCGCAGTGTCTGAAGTGCCGGGCTCCAGAGACACGGAGGCGGTGTCCTCATTCACCCCCCAGCAGGGCCCGTGGACCCCCGTGGGGGTGCAGCTCTGCGTGGCTACCTGCCTGCATGTCCACCCGGGGGTGTGTGTGTGACTGCAGTTGCCCTCAAGCTCATGACTTGGGAAGTTTCACGACACTGTGCTTGACTCCATGTCCTATGTTGGGCGTCCTTTACATCGGCCTTTACTTCCTACGATGAAGTGGGGCGGTCTGCAGCAGGCGGTCACTCAGGGAGCTTCAGGAAGTGCTGCCTGTGTGCACCTCACGAACCTGTGCAGACGCACAGACGCTGCTGCCAGTGGAGGAGGCTCACTCACCAGGCGGGACATGCCTGCAGCTCAGCCATATCGGACCCCACGCAGCTCACTTCCCTGGGGGTCCCTGCCTGAGACCTAATGCTGAGCGCTGCAGGGACAGAAGAGTGGTGTGTGTGTGTGCATGCATGTGCGTGTATGTGCATGCACGTGTGCCTGTGTGTGCATGTGCATATGTGTGTGCATGTGCGTGTATGTGCATGTATGTGTGCCTGTGCGCATGCGTGTGTGCCTGTGTGTGCGCGTGCATGTGTGTATGTGTGTGCATGTGTGTGGTTAGAGCCACAGTAATTGTAAACCTCTACTCTCCACCGCGGAATAGCACCCCTAAAGTGTTATTCATTTTGAAGAGGTAGCTTGACATGTGGAAAAGGTGTCACTGACTCTTGTCTGTGGGTCTTGCCTGAGCCTCAGTTCCTTTAAAAAATGTTTTTATTGATTTTTAGGGCGAGAGGAAGAGAGCGGGAGAGAGAGAGAAACATCAATGATGAGAAAGAATCATCGATTGGCTGCCTCCTGCACACCCCCTACTGGGGATTGAGCCCACAACCTGGGCCTGTGCCCTGACCAGGAATCGAACTGGCGACCTCTTGGTTCCTGGGTCGACGCTCTGCCACTGAGCCACACCAGCCGGGCGCCTCAGTTCCCACATCTGTGAAAGGACCCTGGGCCTTCCCAGGGGTTTCGCAGAGGCACCTTCAAGGGACCTGTGTCAGACCAGCAGAGCCGTGGGATCTGGGGTGGGGGTGGCTCCCACGCACTCTAACTCGCGGCAGCCTGAGGCCCAGGTCACATGCATGGCGCCAGGTGCACCCAGGAAGCCCGCGGCCAGCACCCACTTCCCACCTGCAGACACTCTCATGGCTGCAGACGGTCCCGCACGGACCAGGCATTCCCAGGCTACCGAGCCAGTGGCGGAACAAAACGATTTTTCTAACAGAAGCGAGGGGTCCATGGGGGACTGTTTAAAGTGGGAGAGCACGTATTACATGCCACCCCCCACCCCACTCAATGTGGAGGCCAGACCGACAGTAACCTCTGCTGTTAAGGAGCGACCTGCACGGCGAGGCCAACGCCCCTCCGGCAAGGAAAGGCGCGTCTGTTAGAGAAATGGGGCTCCGTCGGGGCAGCTGTAACTCGCAAGGTCCTGTGGACTCCCTGTTGTCCACCGCGAAGCAAGGGGACGGGAGGGGTTACGTCTGAGAATCAGGCGCACAGCCACAGCGGGCGACTCCTGCACCCAAAGCACCGGAAGCCGGAGACGAGTGAAGCCTCTGAGGCCCTTGCAGACCATCTTCCCGCAGCCTGTGCTGCTCGTGCAGCTGAGAAATAAGCCTGGAAAACCCCAGGGATAAGCAGCCTCAGAGGAAAGGAACATCTTGGCCTACGTTCAGAATTCGAGTTTTTACAGTTTATTAATAGATGTAACCAGGTTTTCAGAAAGGTCTGTGGTACATGCGTCTAAGCTAAAAACACAGGGCAGATGCCCAGAAAGCACGGGACACGGGAGAGAACTTTCCAAAGGGCAGAGCCCCAAGCAGCCCCCAGCACCGGGTTAAATCAAAGCCTCAACACGCCACGCGGAGGCGACGCACAGCAGCGACCTACAGGACCGCCTACACGACCTTCCTGCCAGCAGCTGCCCCCGTGCGGCCTCGGGGCGCTGCACCCTAAGACAAGAGCAACGAGTCAGGAAGCCAACTGGAGGCCCGTTGTTAGAGCTGCGTGGAGTCAGGTTTGTTTGGCTCCCTGAGGGAAAGGTAGCTGAGACCCTCTGTCTCCCACCCCTGCAGGTGCTCGCGCACCTGGAAGGAAGAGGAGAGCTGGCGGGAGGGCACGGTGTCTTTAGGAAGAGGCTGACGGTGATGTCATGTGATCTGCAAGTTTTCCTGTCACGACTCTCAGGTGGTCTGAGCAGGGGAGATGGTCAGAGAAGAAAGTTCCTTCCGAATCAGAGCTCACGTGAAGCCTCATTGTCATCAGCCCCCCTGACTCGCGACAGTTTTATTCTATTTTTGGGCCTGGGGTCTGGTGAACTGCAGGGTTGGACCTCACCCCGGGAGGCAGCTTGAGGAACACCGTGCAGCACCCCAAGTGTGTGGGGGCTGGGCTCCAGCCTCGGGGACTCCTGGCTGCGTGACCCTCGCCTGCCTCCTGGGAGTCGCTTTCCTTGGGCTGTGCCCACCTCCCTGAGCCACTGACCTGGGCTTTCTCTGTCAGACAGACCAGGGGCCGGGGAGCAGGAGCTCCAGGCGCCAATGGCCCTCACGTGCACGTCACATTCTGATGTGCACTGTTTACATGTTGTACATAATCAGACATGATGCTATTGACTTCTTTTCCAGAATATTCAAAATGTGTGGTTCTGGGTAAGCACCGAGCTAGGCGTCATCTTGGGGTGTTTAAGAGGTTTGAGGACCCAAGACCCAAAGTTTATCTGGCAGAGCTGTCAGTCCGTGACCCAGAGTCCTGTCAGTGGCCACTGGAGTGAAGTCAGTGTGAGAAGGGACAAGAGGACCCTCTCCAGGAAGTGCTTTCTCAGCAGGTGCACGTGGAGCTGCTCTTTGCAGGAAGCGGGGCCCCACTGTCTCACGAGACGTGGGAGCCGCTGCACCACGGACGGTGCCGGTCACGCTCTCCACCAGGGAAGCAGCTTTGAGAACACGTGTGAAGAAGAAGCTCTGACCAGAGCCCGGCCTGATTTCTCTAGAGGGAGCTGCGTGATCTCCCGGATGGACAGCGGCCTGTGACTCAGGTAAGAGCAGTGGATGGGAGAATCACAATTCAAAGGAGAAAGGAAACCATGTACCCTACGGACAGCTGGAAAAGACCAGTGAGAACTGCTTATTTCAGCATTACACCTTTATTGTGTACATTTCATCGAAGATCCAACGATAAACACAAACCATCCAGAAAACCGGTCACGTTTAGGTTTCTAAGAAAGAGTCACTCACAACGAGATGCACTGGTTACAAAGACAAGCCTGGGAGCGAGTATGGCTGTCAGATCAGCCGGATGAGGAGAAGGCAGCCCCTCTGGATGGCGAGGCCCTCGGGGAAGAAGCAGACGAGGGAGGGGCAGCGCCTCCCTCTGAAGATGCCGATGGCGAGGACGCCATCTTCCAAGATGAAACAGGAGGAGGCAGGCAGCCTGGAGCTTCAGATCCACAGAAACTTCTAAGCCCACAGTCAAGGCATGCAAACCAGTGCTAACCAGACCTGCAGAACACTACTCTGGCCTCTGGGTCTAGATGCGCATTAGGTGCGAGCTGTGGGAAGGCCACTTTCCGGCCACAGCCGGCCTGTGGGGCTGGAGCCGGGCCAGACTTCTGCCAAGTGTCCTCATCACAGAGTCAGAGGGAAGTGCCTTCTGAGGCGCTGGCTAAGGTCCAGGGGCAGGGACCCACGTCCTGGCCAGGAGAGAAGCATGGTTTCAAGCTATGAAAAAAGATGCCGGAACCCAGCGGGCTGAGCTGTTCTTGCTAATCCCTGTCCACTGGGAGGCACTGTGGAGGATGCTACGGGCTTTATGGCCGTTGGGAAGAGGGCGCCCTCTGCTGTTTACACGCCATGAAGAAGACTCCAACAGCCTGGTGGTGGGAGGGCTAGTTCAGGAGGTCACTGAACATGAGCAGGTGGTCTACGGCGCTAGGGCCCTGGACAGGGGTCCTGTAAGAAACGACACGAGTGAACCGAGCCCCACACCCGGACAGCCTGGTCGGCGCAGCGGGCGCGGGTCTTGGGAAGGAATCACGCAGGGTCTGCAGACAGCGTTTTCTCTAACGGGTCACACAGCCATTTCCTAGCGAGAAGGAAGCCAAGCAGTGTGGCCCGAGGGCACTGAGGACAGCACGGGCCCCTGGTTTCCTCACGTCCACCCCACGTCCACTCCAGCTAGAGCCCCGTCGCGTGGTGCCTTCCTAGAACCTGCGCCCACCTCTTCCACAGTCTGCCGGGAACTGACACGGCTCATCACGTGTGTGCACTTAAGGAGGCATAAGTGCCGGAGACCAGATTTATGTTTAAAATATAGAAAAATTATAGACACAGAGGAGCCGGAGATGCAGCCGCTAGAGGGATGCGTGTGTGAAGGCCTGAGTCGCTGTCTGAGTGCCGGTGACTGACCGCTGGGAACCTGAGGGACTGGCTGTTACCCTGTAGCTTCCTGTCACCGTGCTAGTGAACGTCTAAGTGTTAAGTAAGCACATGAACTACTGACTCTCAAAACGTCAATTTTTTACTTTTAAGTTTTGATCTTTTCTTAAAAGTCTGAGAAACCCTGCAGAACCTCCCTTCCCTGTGCACGCACACCTGCCGGAGAGCACACTGTGCTCTGGGAAAATCGAGACAGAAAGGATACGATTGAAAGAACTAGAGACAGACGAGAGGGGAGCAGAGGGAGCTGCTGGGAAGGGACTACATCCCGAGGACCCAGGCATGCGCTGCTGTGCACGTGGCTCCGTAAAGACATTTCTTTTCAGATGACACCTCCGTCTGCTCCTGCTCAGTGAGCAGGCTTTTAAAGGAGGACGATGCCCGTCAGTCTTACTTGAGTTCCTGCGAGCTGGTGGCCAGCATGCTCCGGATGCTCTTGTCAGCCAGCGGGCAGCCCGACAGACTGTAAGACAGGCCAGAGAGTCCGTGAGTAGCCTCCACCAGCTGGCGCTCCGAACAAACACACACAAAATTGAAATTAAAGTTTAATGCAGAAAAGCGATGGGGCAAGTGCTGTATGTTGACTTTTTATAATGAACTCTGCATGTAAATTTAAGAAAACAGGTCTGTTCAGTCACTTTTTAAAAAAGATAAAAATATTTGTGCTCTTTGGTTGAAATGTACAGAATGTTCCCAATTTAGGTAGCTTGTTTTCCAATAGAGCACATTCCACAACACACCCACCAGCACACTGTGCAGGTCAACATGGAGCACTGCGCGGGCACACACAGCGGACGGGGGACTTGGACAGCATTGTTGAGGTAAGCTGAAAACAATAAATTGGAGAGACAGGATCCACCATGAGGAAAATGAAGGCACACCTTCTATGTGAGGCGTAATTACCAGTCACATGACCACTCCCATCACACCTGGGTGTTGGACATCTGCCACCAAACAAAAACAAAAACAGCCAAAATAGTAAGTATGTTTAAAAAAAACTCGTAAAAAGTTTCATTGTTTCCAGTTTAGCTGCAATGTCTGCAAGGGGTTGGCGCCCTGGAGAAGCTGCGGATGCGCGGTTGGATGAGGATGGCGGCTCCGCGGCCCAGAGCGCGGGAACACACGCGAGGCCACGTGGCGGTCGCTCTGCCGCCCTGGCCGCTGGGGACATCTACACGCTGCGGATGTCACATGCTCAAACGGCAAGGCACGCACAGGCCGGTCGTAAGTAGCAAAGAGAGGGCGCGCGGAGGGAGCCCGCGCCAGGCTTACGTTATCAGATCCTTCTTGCTCTCCTTGCACTGCGGGTACTTGGGCTTGGGGCTCGGGATGGTCACCTCCCCCGGGTACCTTCTGTCTTCCAGCGCGTCCTGGAAGGGGTCCAGGTCCTCCGGCTGCAGGCGAAACACAGCGTCAGCCACACCGAGGGCGGCTCAGTGCACAGGCAAAGGCCCGTCCCCGCGGGCGCTGCCTCTCACTTCCCCCTCCCGACTTTCCCTTCACAATCGCGTTACCTCTTCCCCCTCTGAAAACGCAGACGGAAATTTGTTCCGTCTCCCTTTGGGGCTGGCCCTTAACATCTCATCTGCTCTAGACCACTGGAACTCCGGGAGCCTGTCACTGGCAGGGCCTTATGCACACGAGGGACAGAAGTGGTCTGGCCACAGGGACGACCTCCCCCAGCGTCCCACCTACACAAGGGAGCGGGCTGCCTGCTCCACAGGCCGCCCCATCCCACGCTGCCTGCACGCTTCAGGGCTGCACCTGAGATCTCAGAGCAACCACTGGCTCCTCACTCTCCCTGGGCCCTCAGCCCTGTTGCAGCGTTAAATCCTTCTCAGCGTTTTCTTTTTTCTAGGAAGTGGGTCCAAGTGTCATGACCTGGATACTCCTATAGGTGGCACTGTTGAGCAGACGTTCTCCTGAATAGGAGGCGTTTTCGCTTCCGGCGGGGCAGTGTGCGTCATGCAATGCTCCTGTCCACTTACGGGGCTTCATATTCATGACAGTAAGTTCGGAGCTCCCGCTGCCTGCTCTGTGGCCCTAATGACTGAACAGAGGCGGAGGGAAGCTCTGGGATTTAGCTCTCAATCTGAAGAATAAGAACAATAGGCTTTGAGGGCGAAGGGCCCTGCAGAAAGATGCCTTTCCCTCAATCCCTACAAATGGCCCATGTTTCCTTTCTCTCCACCTCCTAGTTTCTAGAACGGTGGTTCTCAACCTTCCGGCCCTTTAAATACAGTTCCTCATGTTGTGACCCAACCATAACATTATGTTCGTTGCTACTTCATAACTGTGATGTTGCTACTGTTATGAATCGTCATGTAAATATCTGATATGCAGGATGGTCTTAGGCGACCCCTGTGAAAGGGTCGTTCGACCGCCCAAGGGGTCGCGACCCACAGGTTGAGAACCGCTGTTCTAGACGACGCTATTGCTTTCATGTGGTCTTCCCACTGCATTAAAATAAATGTTCATTTTTCAGTGAATAGAGAAAAATGTTATGACTTTCAGGATTAAAACACTAGAGAGAAAGGTCAGGCCAGTAAAAAACAAGTTTTTCTTCATTTCTTTCTTCAGTCTAAAGAATACTATAACTATTTAATAAGCTGAATTTGAAAGTTATAACGACTTTAAAAACAGGTTCTTGCCAGAGGTGTTTTGGTAAAATGTGGATAAAGGCTCAGGTGACGACCGAGCTACACGGCCCTCAGGGCTGGGCCTGCTCTGCGCTCCAGGTCCTCGGAGAGCAGACCCCCCTGGGCTCCAGAGCTGCGCGGAGGCGCCTCTGCGTTAGACAGCGGGTCCCCCGAGAGGGGCTGGCCTGCCGCTGACACATTTTCTCAGAGAAACTGTTTAGAACACAAAGTTCATCTTTCAGAGAAGTCCGTGGTTTGTTTCACCAAATCCATGCTGCTCACAAGTCCTTCCTGAGTCAACAGCGCAAGTGCCTAGAGCCTCACTAGCTACAGGGCACAGGAGGGAGGAGGCAGCTTTCCCAGGCGAGGGCAGCGCCGCCTCCCAGGACACCAGCTGGGACCGAGGCAGTGGCTCGGGGGGCGGGGGGGGGGGACCTACAGTGATCTCCTTGGAGTTGTCCTCCTCTACCCTTCGGGCCTTCATCTTGGTGTAGTCCACGGGCAGGTCCCAGCAGTCCCCCTCGCCCAGCGGGAAGCACCGGCTGCTCATCACGGCCTGCTGCTGCGGGGACATGGGCTCCAGCGGGGTCAGGATCGGGCAGCAGCCCTCCCTCGGCCTCTGCTTGTTCATGCTCAGGTCCAGCGTGCCGTTCTCGTCCACCTCCATGTCAGGGTTCTGTCGGCAGAAAGACAGGTAACCATGCGTTCCATCCCCGACTGCAGCCCGCCTCCAGCCAGCACAGAGCACAAGAGAAACTGCTCACCATCCCACGTACAGAAGCCCCAGGCGAGGAAGCTGAGGTGGGTCCTGCTGCCCGGGCTCCCAGGCTGCACGCCTGCGTCCTGTCTTCTGATCCATCACTCATCGACCATCTACCCATCCCCCATCCATCCCCCATCTGTGTACCTATCCATCGTCTATCTGTCTATCACTTATCTACCTACCCTTGTCTGTCATCTACTGATCACACCTATTATCTACCTACAGCTTCCTTTCTCCCAGTACATCTCTGCTTCTGGAAAAATCAAACACATGCCTAATTTCCATTCCATTCCACTTCAAATACCTATTAAGCGATCAGAATTATAATGTGTATAGAATACATAGTTATCATTAAAACTATATAAACTTAAAGTGGATATATCCTTAAAAATTCTCCTTTGGTTTCACTGCTGCTGAATAGTTCAAGCCTCAGAGCAGGAGAAAACAAGAGAGGGAGGGCTGGAGGGGAAGGTGGGAATTCACTTTCTAACCCAAAGCCCAGGAGGCAGAGGCTTCCACGCTGCTCAGAGCGCCTGCGGCTGTGACTGGCCCGGCTGCTCTGCGTCCAGCAAACCTGCAATGCAGTCAACTGGCTAACAAAGAGGGCCAGGGTGAGCTCCCTTTTTAAAAGATGCTTTGAAACAGATCAAGAATCCTTCAGAGCTCAGCCCTCCAGAGGGGAGAAGGAAGGGCGCGTGAAGGAGAGAGGGAGGGAATCAGGAGAGGGGAGGAATGGCCACGCGAGAGCTGGAGGGACACAGCGGCCTGAGCTGAGCTGCTGCTGCCGCCTGACGTCACGGCAGAGGGAGGTGCCTGGATAAGGCCCACCCTGGGCTGTTCCCTGACAAATGAGAGAGCATTACTCTGCCTCAGCTCTTTGTCATACTGCCTTGGCCTTCATGATGCTGCCTTCAATTCTCTCAGTCTTAGTTTAATTGCAATGAAGTACAAAGATGGGAGGGGACAGTCTTTTCTTTTTTTATTGTAGAACTTCCTCCGGGGCCGCCTCCCATTGAGCAGCCCTGGTCCTTTCCCAAAGTCTAGGGATAAAAACACGAATAAAGACGCATTTGTAGAACATGACACTGCTGGCCTTTCTCCCTTCATACAGATTCCCCTCATTCAGAACTGCTGGCAGGTGTGAGGCCGTGTGCACGCGGCAGCTCCAGGCAAGGCTCCTCCTCTGCTCCTCGAGGAGGCACCACCCCTGCCTGCGCACAGGTCCTCCGAGAGCACCCCCTCGTGGCCTCGCCCGGCGGCTCCCTGGCTGCCATCTAACCCGCTCTCCTGACCTGGGCACAAGCAATGAGTCATGGACCAGAAAATCAAAATGATAAACCACCACAAAGACTGGTTTCTGAGCTGATGCAAGCTGCTGTACCTGCCAGACTGGCCCCTGTGGACATCGGATTTGCACTGTCCTTGTTCCCTAGTTCTGGGTGACTTGCTAGGAGCACAGCAAGGGGACAGGCCTGCCTTTTATTTGACAGCTGTCCTTGTATTTGAAAGTTCAAGGCATGTTGGGTCTTCAGGTTCCTGGTCCCTCTGTTTACAGAAATGAGCCTGGATCTTACAGGGGACACAGGCATTGAGTGCAGCAATCGCAGGCACCTGGCCCCTTCCTGACCATGTGCCGGGAAAGCTGCTCCCGCAGAGCTGGGCGGTCACCCAGAAGGGAGGCTCAGTGAGACGGCGTCTCAACTTCTGCCTTGTGTCCTGAGGGGCCAGTGCGACCTCGGGGGTGGACGGGGCCCGCCTGCCTGCCCGGCAGGTGTGCGTACCCGTGTGGCACACAGGTCCTGCGGCTTCGTGGACAGGTTCTGCGGCATCTCGCGGCAGCGTGTGGACAGGTTGAGGATGGCGGTGGCCGCCATGTGGGCTGCCTCCATGTCATGCGTGTAGTCGAAGCTGCTCTTGCTGCAGGTGCTGCTGGCGCTGCTGCCGCCGCCACAGCTCAAGTTGCTGCTGCTGCTGGGCGCGTAGCTGCTGGCGGTGCTGCTGCTGGGGCTGGCGTCCTTGCAGTACCGCTTCGCTGGGGAGACACGGGCAGGGTGACTCGGGTACCCGCCAGGTCATGCGCCCTCCACCCGCACCCCCAGCCCTGCGCGTAGACACACATCACATGGAGGCGCGGAGCCAAGGGCTGACTCATGAGGAGCGAGCCACCTGGCCTGCCTCCTGGGACACCACGTGCCACTGACTGAGCTCAGCTGGGACAGTGGGGACATAGTGCCCGGTCCCTCCCATGAGTGGCACTGGCATGTGCCTCACAGGCTCACACCTGCTGGGACTCAGTCACCAGGGTGCCTCCCCTCCTTGTTGAGGCCCAGGAGGCAGCCTCCCTGGCAGGACTGCTCCTCAGTCACTGGGTGAGGGGACCCAGCTGCTCAGCTCACTGGGTGGGGGGACCCAGCTGCTCATCAGTCACTGGGTGGGGGGACCCACCCGGCTGCTCAGCTCACTGGGTGGGGGGACCCGGCTGCTCAGCTCACTGGGTGGGGGGACCCGGCTGCTCAGCTCACTGGGTGGGGGGACCCAGCTGCTCAGCTCACTGGGTGAGGGGACCTGGCTGCTCAGCCCTTTGGAGACTGGCCGCTTACACCGGGAGGGGCTGCGGTGGCCAATGGGGCTCACTGTCCTGCACCCGGGCCACCTGTGAGGGCTGCGCTTTGGGGAGTGGCGTTCAGGCTGGGTGTGCAAACCAGACAATGTAGCTGAACATCCTCTTCCTCAAGAACAGTCACCCTGTGATTCTCACAAAGGGCCACGTGGGGGAAGGTGATGGCTGAGGGGGCGCACGCCCTTGGACTTGGGTAAATGCACCAGCAGAGTGACCATGACTGCTCGGGGATGCGCAGACACGCCCTCCTTACAGGAATGGCCTCGCCTCCTGCCCGGAGCGTCGCTTACAGGTTATCTTTCTGAGCAGCCAGCTCACCACCAGCCCGACAGGCTCCTGGGCACAGCATGCCTCTGAGTGCCCAACGTCCCACTAGCACAGTGGACGGAGGCATCTGCTGGAGGGTTTACGAGCACTGCCCGTTATCACTGCAGGGGCGTTAACGCCCCAGGTCAGGCCTCTCCCCCAGGGCCTGGCCATGAGGCTCCTGGGAGGTGAACCTGGAGGTGCTGGCAGACCCGGCGCAGTGTCCTAAGCCCTCCACCAGAGAGCCACCCTGTCTCGCACCTTCTTCCCCAGTGAGCTCAGGGGCCCTGCGTGGGCGCGAGGTCCAGCGGGACGTAGTGATGGGGTGCATGCAGGGGCCAGCTGTGCTGCGGCGCCTGGTCCCACCTGCATCCCTGTGACAGCAGCCTGACCTGCTCTCACGGTTGTCCCCAAACAGTCACTGGTGGGTCAGTACTAAAGGCCCAAGGAAGCCCTGCTCAGAGCTGCCCCGGCGGGAAGCAGCAGACACACTGAACGGAGTGACAATAACCCCACACAGCAACAAGCTCGGACATCGTGAGCAACGCCGTGGAGCTGCCCCAAAGCGCCTCCTTCAGACACAAATGGAGAAAGAACTGAGCTTCCGTAACTCTCGGCTTTGCACCGGAGCCCGTGCCGTCCTAACCTCGCAGACGCTGCTCACTGTTCCCACCTGGCCACGGGCGATGCGGGCGGCCACCCGACTGCTGCGCATCCCAGCCCCGGACAGAGCCACAGACACTGCACACGCAGCTGACCCCCAGGGCCAGGTTCCCCGATGGTCCGGAGGCCAACCCCGCATCAGGCCCACCAGGCACGCGCAGCCCCGCGCCTCCGCCGAGAGCCAGTGCTCACGCCCTCGGGGCTCGGGGCCAGGCCCTGGGCCTTCCCCCCGTCCCCTGCGAAGGTGCCTTATCTCAGCAGCACAGGCCACGGGCAGCAGGGCTCGGGGCTGGGCCCAGAGGGACCCAGAGACAGGCCCAGGAGGCCGCCCGGGGCCTGCCCGGAGCACATCGAGGCGGCAAAGCCAACTCGCGGCCCAAGATTCTCTCTCAGGAATGGAAGTTTGTGGTTTTACGTCATCCCCGCATTTGTTAGAAAAATTCTGGGAGGAATAAAATAATACTATTAAGGTGTGTTTTTTTCTTCCTGACGAGGGCTAGCCACTGGCTCAGGGAAAAATGTGCTCCACACAAAGAAGAAACAGGGCACGTTGTTCAGAAATGAGTGCTATTCGAGTTCTAGAAGGAGCAGGACAACACGCGTCTACGCAAACACCGCAGCCCCTTGGAAAAGGGCATCCCCGTCACTGAATGCTTAACCGGGGCTCCTCTGGGCTCCGCCGGGAGGGGCCTGGACCAACTGGGACCGCACACCCTGTGGAGTGGGGAGGGGGGAGAGAAGCAGCTGGGCGGCCAGGCGTATCCCTTCACTAAATGCCATCGACTTTTTCTTTTGTTTTGCTGCAATGAAATAAGAGTCTCTATCCTTCAAATCTTTCAGGTGATGAAGGCCTCGTCCTAATAATTATCTGTTAAACTTTGACAAAACCTAGTGACAGTGACCTGGGACCACACTGTGCTGACACCAGGGGGCACCGCAGAGCCACAGGGCGTGGGGTGGCAGGTGTCTCTCCCAGGTGTGCTCTGGCCCCTCTGCCCCACCCAGGAGCCCCTACCTTGTCAGATGGGAGTACCTGATTCACCATAAAATGCACTGGGCTTTTCTTTTGGTAAACAAAGTGATGTTCAATTAAATCCCTTTCCAATTGGTCAGCAGATAAGAATGTGTTCATGTTCTAGGTGCCAGCGGACATGAGAATGACAGAGCTACACGCCTGCATGTGACACAGCTGTGTGCAGGCCACACCCCACGGAGCAGGACCTCCTCAGGCAGTCAGCGCTCTTGCAGGAAAAAGAGCAACCGTAAGACATTTGTTTTGAAAAATAAATGAAATGGAAACAAAGCAAACACCTTCCACCAGGACCCTCCTGTCGCCTGCTCTGCTGGTGAGAGCCTCAGGGCCCTGGAACGGCCACCTGCTCTGTGCAGTGTGTGTGGAGCAGGCGAGTGTGCTGCATCCGGGTTTCCAGGGAAACAAGCACGTGCCTCCTGAGGATGTGCCCACCAGGGAGAGGACGGGTCGATGGGTGGACAGACAGGCAGATTGACAGAGACAGAGAGCAGTCAGGACGTGTCTGGTGCCTGGAAGAACAAGGAGGCTGCACCCAAGTGCTGAGTGTTTGGTCCCAGCAGGTGGGACCTCAGGGCGATGAGCAGACGGGGAAGGCCCTGCGTTCTAGGCACCTGCATCTCTGCTCCTGCCCTGACACTGGCCCACCCACCACAGGCTCATTTCCCTCCGGCTCAGGACAGTGACGGAACCCGGGGGCGCCCCTGGAGCTGAGTGCAGACCTCAGTCGCCGGTGGTGCCTACTGCCCGATGCCCGGGAGCAGGAGGGCTCCTCTCAGCTCACATCCACTGGGCCCTGGCCCAGCCCCTCACCCTTAGCGGGCATTGTCCTCCATGCGTTCAAAGTCTGCCAGGCGCCTCTAGTGGAAGAGAAACGGGGTCACTGACTTCCTTCTCAGTAAATGTTTGCTAAAAGGGTGTCTTTCCTCTTCTCTTAGTTCACTGAGGACCTAAGAGTGGAGTTTCTATTCTGCTCTTGTTTTCCTGTTGGTCGGCTGAACAGCATGGCTCTGCCTCGGTCCTGACACCAGGCACCTTTCTGGGCAGGTGAGAATGTCGGCACTAACATGCTTGTGCCCTTTGGAGCTGTCCCTGGTCTTCCCAGCAGGCAGAACGGTGCCTCCACTCGACTCCGGGAATGGACACACAGCACACAGTCCTCAGGGAAGAGCTGAGGACAGGCAGGCAGGTTTGCCTCCTGCCCCACCGAAGGCACTGCAACCCAAGACGCACTCTACCGGCCGCGCCCACGCCCAGCCAGCCCGGACAGCAGGGCAAGGACTCAGGCCACGGAGAACAGCCGCGACAACGAGGCGGGTGAAAATGAACGAGCCAAAGCACTCATCAGATCTCTCAAAACTGGAAATGGTATCAACAGAATCCTTAATTATATGAATTCAATTTCTTTTGATCCTTCATTTGCAATCAAATGAATGAAATAATAAAAACTGAAACTGGCAAATTATTACAAAATAAACAAAAATACTTATTTTCTATTATACTGTAAACCACTTTCTTTTCCCCATTTATATTAATTCCTATATATTAAGAATTGATACATGCAAAGATAATCAATATTTGATGCATCAGAGAAATACTCTATTCACTATACAAATTAATTGTTATTAAGGCAAAGAATGACTAACATAACTTTGAAAAAGGTGTAGCTACTCATATTGAATTATGAGACGGTTTCAGAACCCCCACCACTCAGCTGAAACGGTCTGTGTGCTGTGATCTGAATTCCGTCTCTCAGAGAGGAGCGGGCCCATCTCCTGCCTCACTAGAGAGCGCCCGGAGAGACTTCTACGTCACCACAAGCTACGCAGCCCACATGCCAGTTAGTAAAATTTGCCAACTAAGTCATATATCCTGGAATTTAAAGTAGAATTGTGGTTAGATAAGTAAATGCCAAGATACGTGGTCTTCCCGTCTATGGTTAACCACGAACCACGATAACTGTGGCCCAGGCACACCCTGGCGGCGGCTGAGCCTGCGGTGGACAGGACTGTGCTTTTCCTGACGCGATGGCAAGGTGCGCCCGTGACCCAGCTGGGCCCCACCAGGTGGCTCTCCCAGGCCCGCTCCCCAGGGCAGAACAGAGCAGGGTCCAAGCCTGCTTGAGGGGCTGGGACACCCTCGGAGGCTGTCCACCTTCAGCTGCACAGAGCAATCGCGGTGACTTTAAAATCCCACCACACAGGGAACACCTGAGGTTCTGGTTTGGCCGGGGTGGGAGCCGCCTGAGCATCAGACTTCTAAGTCACTCGGACGACTGTGCACCCAGGGTCGGGAACACGGGGCGGGTGGGGGTGCAGACCTCCCCACACAGCCACGGATTTGGGGCCGCTGCTGCCGGCTGTCCAGGTATCTGAGCTGGGCCACCAATTAAAGGACGTTTAGGAAGGTGAGGACATGGTCTGAGTGACAGCAGGGGCAGAGGAGCCGAGGCTCTGTCCACACCCGCAGCCCTGCTCCCCACCGTGGACCCCTGGTTCTGAGGAAGAAGCCCAGGGTGGCGTGCTGTTCTTTGGTGCCCAGCAAGTGACCACATGCGCGACCGGCTGGTAGGAAATGGATATACACAACAACAACATCATCAAGGCAAGCGTGACTCTCATGTATAAGAGTGTGCACCTCCTACCATCATATCCTTTGGGGGATATGTCCCTGGTTTGCACCTTGGGAGCTATGGCCCGCTTGCCGTACGTGTGGCTGTCGTAACTGTTGTACTCAAACGACGTCTTGGAGTATTTCTCCAGCTCTTTGGCCAGGTTGGAGCGCGGCGTGGTCGTGGGGACGTTGTTCCTGTAGCCGTAGTGAGGGATCTCGAGCTGCTTTACAAAGCACATTGGCCTGTAAGCAAACAAGAAACAATCGACAGCTGGCTTTTTCGGGGCCGCGGGGGGACGGGCTCACGCTAACGCCAGAGCAGCTAGCTCTCAGCGGCACTCGGGCCTGGAACCTGGCACGGAAACCACGGCCTGCTTTCCCGAGAAAAAGCCGCGGCGCTGTCATTACGCAGCACCACATACGCTAGCCGCCCGGCTGTCAACTCTGGCAACAAGACGACGAAAACGGAACTAACTTTCCCATCTCCCTTCTCCTTTCCTGTCTTGGTGGGCTTGGTGAAGAGACAGGTGTGAGGACAGAAGCATCGCAAGTCCATGTGTTTTCTTCTGCAAAGAGCGAGAGTCACACTCACATGCAGGAGCTAAGGAGGCATTTCCCTTGGAGAGAGAGGAAATGAAAGAAGTACTCATAGGGCCACAGGCCGAGTGAAACTAGATACAAATGTGTACGTCTGGGCAATAAAATGGAACATGCGGTAATATATTCTGACAAATATTAGCCTACAGTTTCAATATTTTTACCTAGGAGCCATCCATTTTCCTAGATTTTAGAGTGAATTATTTAAGGGGAGGAGCCTTCTATTATTATTCATCATTTAAGATTCCATTTTGTTGTGTGTGTGTGTCCAGCTCGCTCTCTCTCATAAGTGGAATGTTTAAGCTCTTCTTGGAAATTAAGACGCACAGAAGAGTTCTTCCTTCGCTCAGCTTCCCCTCATGTTAACACCTTTATTTACCAAATCACCAAGCACTTACTTTGATGTCATGAACTTGGCTTATTTACTTGTCAGTCAACAAAACAAGGAAGCGATTAGCTGAATGCCCATTATTTGAGGCATTTGCCAGGTAGTATGGAGGGTGTGGCTGCATAAATGACTAAAACCCCCAGCTTTGCCTCAAAGATCCCGGGCTGCACTATTGTGTGCGCGTGTGTGTGTGTGAGAGAGAGAGATACACTATTTTAAGAGCCAGTGCTGCGGGGATTCTGGGGAAGGGAGGCCTCTTCTGGCTGTGAGATTCCATCTCCGCGGAGAGCCAGCTTTACAGAACGGGTAAACCACTAAGGCAGTGGTTCTCAACCTTCCTAATGTGTGGTGACCCCCAACCATAAAGTTATTTTCATTGCTGCTTCATAACTGTAACGTTGCTACTGTTATGAATCGTAATGTAAATATCTGATATGCAGGATGTATTTAGGCGACCCCTGTGAAAGGGTCGTTCGACCGCCAAAGGGGTCGCGACCCACAGGTTGAGAGCCGCTGCACTAAGGGTATGATCAGGGTGTGAGCACAAACATTCCCAGAAAAGAAAAACAGTCAGAAGGTGAGGCGCGTCTTGGGGAAGCGCAGGAGACGGGTGCCGGGGCAGATGGGAGTCTGTTCATCTGCTAGTGGGGCTGGGCCGGCTCAGCGGAGGAGCCTGGGCAGAGGCCTCCGTGCGAGGCAATCCTGGGTGAGAAAATGGAGGTGGATGGGCCCAGCAGAGGAGAGAAGAAATGTGGACAGGACTGGGCGTACTTACTCAAGTCTTAAATTCCTGCTGGAAATCTATTTAAAGATTTAGAAAAACCATAATTATTTAAATGATTGTAGGTTTAAATGCTTTTCCTTTTCCTTCCTTCCTGGCTCTGTCCTCACCCGCTGAGCGAGCCTCTCTGTGTGTGGACACTGTGGGAGGACACGGGTGATGGAGAGGGACCAGCCTCACCTGGAGCTGGGACCCAGCGCTGGCAGTGCCCATGGGGGCAGAGGGGGCGGAGCCGGAGACGAGGCCTGGCTGCAGGCCCTTTGCTAACACCCTCCTCCCGGCACCCCGGCCTAAGGAACTGTTTGCAGATGCACAGCTGTTGGCACCTGGCCTTGCTTTGCTGTCACTTGCTGTGCTTCTCCACTGTGTCCACCCAAAGAAAGGAGCAGCAGAAACAGCATAAAAGCTGCTGTTTCAGGCTCAGGTCAGATGGAGGCTGCGTCTGAACAGGTGACGTTTGCAATCACGGATGCATCTTGTCCCTCTCAGCTGCCCTCTCCGTGCGGGAGCGCAGGCTCGGGGCTGCGAGGGACTCACCTGTGACGTGTGGAGGGCCGGGCTCTCGCCTCGGTCTCCCTCTGCCTTTCCTCAGAGTCTCCCCTGGTGAAGAGCCGTCCCTTCTCAGGTGGATTGCACCCAAGGTTTTGGGGGGGGGCTCTTGTGCTGCCAGTATTAACAGTGAGTGGGTGTGGGCTCTCAGGGGCTCTCACTTATTTGTCAGCCTTACTTTCTGTGAGATGACAGAGTTGCAGGTACCCTGGGGACATCAGACTGTAACACCCTCACAGAATAGTCTACAGCGGTTCTCAACCTGTGGGTCGCGACCCCTTTGGCGGTCGAATGACCCTTTCACAGGGGTCGCCTAAGACCATCGTGCATATCAGATATTTACATGACGATTCATAACAGTAGCAACATGACAGTTATGAAGTAGCAACGAAAATAATGTTATGGTTGGGTCACCACATGAGGAGCTGTATTTAAAGGGCCGGAAGGTTGAGAACCGCTGGTCTAGAAGCAGGCATGCCAAGCCTGACTGAGGGGTGTCTCTGAATGTCAGGACCACAGATGGTTTTTTTTGTTTTGTCTATTTAAATATTTCCCACTTTCTAAAAGGATTTAACTTTTCTACTGAGTTGAAGGGCTATGGCAGATCCTCTCTGAACTGGGAACCACACTCAACAGACCACAAAGGTGACGTGTCCTCTGCCTGGTGACTGCGTCCACAGGATCTGTCCCAGAGGACACGGTAACAAAGGCAAGACTGGGAATGTGTGTGAGTTGTGTGAGTGCGTGCGAGTATGCGTGTGTGGAAGTGTGTGCACGAGTGCGTGAGTGTGTGCGAGTGTATATGAGTGTGTGTGTGAGTGTGTGCGAGTGTGCGTGTGCGCGAGTGTGCGTGTGTGGAAGTGTGTGCACGAGTGTGTGAGTGTGTGCGAGTGTATATGAGTGTGTGTGTGAGTGTGTGCGAGTGTGCGTGTGTGGAAGTGTGTGCACGAGTGCGTGAGTGTGTGCGAGTGTATATGAGTGTGTGTGTGAGTGTGTGCGAGTGTGTGCGCGCGAGTGTGCGTGTGTGGAAGTGTGCGCACGAGTGCTTGCGCAAGTGTGTGTGTGCAAAGTGTGTGTGTGTGGAAGTGTGCGCACGAGTGCGCGTGTGTGCGAGTGTATATGAGTGTGTGTGTGTGTGCAAGTATGTGTGTGTGCGAGTGCATGTGTGTGTGTGTGTGTGAGGGTGTGAGGGCTGTCTCTCTCTCACCCTCCCTGGCTCCAAGGCAGGGCCCGGCTCTGGCCATGTGGACACACTGACTCCCGCCTTGTGTGAGCTGGGGATTAAGCAGCAGGACCTGAGCTGTGGGCATGGTGCTCACGGGCAGACATCAAGCTGATGTAGGGTGAGCGAGTGTGGGTTTCTCCCTCTCTCCTCTTTTCTAAACTTGATACACGGCGGGCTAAGCCTGAGGGTGTCTGAGGACTTTCCTGGTTTATCCTCTAATGAGGTCTGGGGCAGGTCAGCCCGCCCTCTCTGCACTGGGTGTCTGAGGACAGGGGAGGGCAGCTCCGGGCTCCCACGCAGGCCGCCTCCAGGCTGGCAAGGGGGCTCCATCACTGATGTGCTGGAAGGAAGCACTGCTGCCACCTGCAGGTGGTGCCTGGCCTCTCAGCCTCTTAGGACCATCCTTCGGGCAGCATCAGCTGGGAAAGCCCCACCCAGCCTCAGCCAGGAGCTACGGGGAGAAAACCAGAACCGAGCTCCTCACCGAAGCCCAGGAGTGGAGTCACCTCCTGCCCACAGGCCCGAGTGGTGTGGGGGTCTCGCTCCCAGCACAGCGCTCTTTAGCTTCCCGCCTGCCCCTGAGCCTGGCATCGCCTCCTACACAGCCCCGAGCTGGCGGGAGGGCTGCCTGCACGGACCCGCGGCACCGCACGCTCTGAGCTGTACCTGAGCACCCGGTCTGAGGCCGGGCTGGACTTGGACACGTCGCAGCTCTGGTGCTTTTCCTGGGCCTTTGCCAGCTTCTCCGCTGCAGCAATAGGGCATCCAGAGAGGCTGCAAGCACAGAAAGGGGTCAGTTGTCTCCCTGAGGGCTCCACACACCAACCCCGACCGAGCCACCGCCCCCTCCCTGATCAGCACAACCACATCCTCGCAGGAGTCGGGGGTGATTTCCCAACCTGTCTGCTCTCCTGATGGTGGGAACGCGAGAGTGGGTATTCCCTTCCCCCAGCAGACAGTGCTGCCTGCTGGTGTGCCCGTGTGAAGTGCACCTGAAGCTTTCTCACGCCAGCCAGCCGGGCCCAAGACATTCAAGAGAGTGTAAGCCAGTCGGTGTCAGACCCAGGCTCCCTTCGGGGATGGTCCCCGGGTCTGGAGGAGGGACTGGCCGCGGGGCAGGCTGTGTCTAGTGGCCCAGGCAGGGCAGCTCTCTGGCTGGCACCAGAGATGGAGGTCTAGGCCAACCCCCAAGCACCACTGACCACAGTGCGTGGCTGGTGCCCCTGAAGAGAGACGGGGGGACAGCAGGACAGTCCGAGGCCCGCTCGCTGGAAGAGGCTCTGGAGCTGGATGCTCAGGTCCTTCCTGAGACCGTGGTGTCTGCTGCCTGTGTGACTGCACAGTCCACGAACCACAGGCACCGTGGACCTCCCTCCCTGCACGTGGGGTGGTGTGAGATCTGACGGAGGAGCTGGTCTGTAAACGCAGCTTCGAGTCACGCTCAGCATGACCCTTACTCCCATTGCTGCCTCCTTTGCAGCACACGCCCAGGACACACTCCAAGGGCTGGGGGTGGCGGGGCTGTGATTTGATTCATTATAAATTTAACACAAGTGACCACATTGGCCAGTGGGAAGAGCCAGCAGTAGAGGGACGCTCCCAGCATTTAGGCTTAGAGGTGTGTTAGGTGTGTGGTGCTGGACCAGGCTGCAGGGCACACTGGGACAGAACCGCTCTGCCTACGGCCAAGGAGCACCTGATGGAAGGGCTGCAGCTCAGTGGGGTGAGAACAAGGGAGGAAGGAGAAGTGGACTTCACTCAGAGCCAAGCATGGCTGTGAGCGGGAAGACAGCAGTGGGCCAGGAAGGCTGCTGATGCCACCCCCGGGCAGGGTCCAGCAGAGCGGGGCAGCCCAGCTCCTTCCTGGATTCCAAGTCCCGCCCTGTCTGAGGGGTGGACCCAGTCCCTCCTGATGGGCACAGGGAGCCTGTACTGTTTCTTCCAGTTGCACATGGTCATGGTTCCCTCAGAGGTCACAGCGAGGACGGCGCCTCCCCGGGGGGACTGTGTCCATCCCGAGGTGGGTGCGACCATTGAACCTCCCATCTGTGATGGGGTCTGAGCACCACACGCCGAGGGCGATGGGACCGAGTCTCCATCCTCTGGATGAGGGTGCGTCAGGGCGGGGAGAGACGGGGCTCCCGGGGCCCCCCTGCAGGCAGGGCGCAGGGGCTGTGCTTACCTTCGGTGAGAGTTCCTGTTGCTATTTACATGCCCGCGCCCTGTGCAGCCCGGAGTAGGACACTTGAGAACATTCTCATGCATGGCAAGAACTTGACAGGGAGAGCAGAGAAAACACGCGGCATTAAAACACAGCAATGGTCCAGGGACAAGAGGACGCAGTCATTCTAACAAAGTGGCTCGTGTACGACTGACGGGCCGGCAGACATTCGTGATGGGCATGGTCGGGGGAACACGTGGGAAGGGGGAGAAGGCTCATCTGAGGGGCATGCAGAGCGGGGTGCGCTGTGTGGGGGCTGGAGGTCGGGATGTGAGGACGTCCCCAGCGCGGCCCATCTGCCCCCCACACGTAAGCACTGAGCACCTGATCGCCAGGCAGCAGCACGCAGACCAGACGGTTCCAATACACGCCTCTGCCTCAGAAACAGTGTCATCAGGGCATGGCGGCCATGGTGACAGGAACCCCAAACCTTATTTTTAATGAAATGAATTAAATGGTGGCTTTCCAGCTAGGAATTGAACACTTTATTCTTCTTCAAATGAGTGAGCTGGGAGAGTCAGTGCTGCGCTGCTGGGCCGGGAGGCCAGCGAGGGGACTCGGTCGCCCGCTGTGGGGCCCGGGAGTGGCCAGCGGTCAGGGGCGTGCTCAGCTACTCGCCGTGGCCACGGTCAGGCTGTGTGCACAGCCTTGCTCCTCAGTGGACAGGCCACTGCTCTGGGTGGTGGGGAAGGCAGGTGGGGGTGAGAAGTGAGGGTGGGCAGTCAAGAGAAGTGACCCATGTTGCTGGCCCAGCACACTAGGCTACCCCCTCCTGGGGGACACACAGCAGGAACCTGTGGGAGCGTCCCTCGGAGTGAGGTTTGCCTAATGGAGGGGGGCATGGAAGGCCCCCTAAAAACAGAGTCTGCCCAAACGAGTTCCATGACTACTTTCTACAAACCTCTTTCCTCCAGGAGTCTCCCTCTGTAGCGTGCACAGTGTCTGTGCTCTGCCACAGGAAGCTCATTACTCAGGCCACATCGCATCCCTCACTCTGGACAGTTCCTTAAATCTGGGTTTGCCCCTGCAGTTCTCAGCCGAGTCTGCAGTGATCGATGGGAGGGGGCTGTGCTGCTCCCTCGGGGGACCTGTCTTCCGGGACTTGGCCCGCTCCCTGGGTCTCTGCCGGCTCGGAGGAGGCAGCACCCACCTGCCCTCTCCCTGCCTCTGGGTCCTGCTCTGCCACTCGGTCGCCCGTCACTCACTCCTTACTCTCCTCTCCTGACCTCCTGCTGTAACGTCTCACCGCTTCCCAGGACACTGCTTCTCTCCAATTAACACCATTTTCCTTTCAAGCTAAAAGCTCTCAGTACAGTCTCTCCTGGAGATGCAAACAGCCTCATGCATGCCCGAGGCTCAGACCTCAAACTGCCTGCACCTGCGTCTCCTGCTAAGTGGCCACACAGACGCCCACTCGAGAGCGGACCATCTGCCTCCCCTCCGCGGCCACGTCTCTCCTGCTCTTCCCCGCGGTCCTCACGTCCTTCTCCGGACCTTTTCCCAGGTGTCCCCTGTGCAGACACTGTCCTCTCGGCCCGACTCCTCTCCACCTGCCTTTCGCCCTCTGCTCGTCTTCCCCTCGGGGCTCCTGTGCGCTCTTGCTTTAAGCCTCCCGTCTGGGCCCCTCCACTCGTTTCTACGCGCACCGCTCAGAGGGCAGACCCAGAGCAGCGGCGCGTCTGACCTTCTCCAGCCTCCAGACCTCCCTCCCGCAGCCCTCAGGGCCGTCAGACCGCATTCCCGTTTCAGAAAACAAGTCCAGGCCACGGTCTCCCTGCTCCTCAGCTCCCTGCACCCATCGCTGCTGTCACCCCCTGATCGCGCTCCGAGGCACAGGCCTTGCCTTCACCTCAGTCTGTCTGCCTCGCCCATGAGCCCTCTTCCGGCCCTGCCAGCTGCCCCGCCTCCGGTGCCTCTGCCGCCTCCTCCAGCCGGGCTCCTGTGTGGACGGCTCCGGCAGCGGGCAGAGAATGTGTGGTTCTCTCTCTCACAGACAGGCTGAGCGGGACAGCAGTGAGGCCTGAGGTCCCTGGGGAAGGCCTCACCCCTGGTGTCTGGGGCGTGTCCGCAGCTGCTGCGGAGCCTGTCCCTAGAGGTCATGCCCGCCCTGTGGGGGCTCCTGGAGGACAGAGCGGGGTCTCGTTCAGTGGGGCGGCCTCTGCTCCTCACACAATGTGTTGCAAACTGGGGCGACAGACCACTGTATGGAGTCCACCTGGAGTGCGACTGTTTCCACTTCATGGTGTTCTAAGGAATGATACGAGTCCATGTGGGAAGGGATCAGTGGGCCAGCGCCAGAACTGAGCCCCACTGTGCCGGGCGCAGGCGTGACAGGCGTGGCCTTCATCTGCGGCTGTCAGGACACGGCCCGTTTCTGCTCCATTTAGGCTCTTCCGGGAGCATATGGAGTCAGGAGGATTGTCAGCCCTGAGGAGAAACCCATCTTCTACTCTGAAGGTGAGAATGTGTGCCTTACAGAGAAACGGCGTCAAGAGGCTATTTCTCTTAAGGCCCGAGGGCTTCGTCCTAATGCTTCATTTTGCAGATGAGGAAAACCAAGTGCAGAGCATGTGCCCTGCTCCAGGGCGCGGGCTGGTTAGGACGAGGCCGCTCAGACCAGGTCTGGGGACTCAGGCGGGTGTGGACCCGGATCTCGCTCAGGCGTCTACCCAGCGGCTCGTGCCTGCTCACGCTGGTTTGAAAAGCACTGAGTGCCTTCCACGCGCCAGGCCTGCGCTGACTGGGAAGGAGGGACGCATGTGCGCCAAGGTTTCCTCATCTGAAAAGCCGCTGGCTCTGCCTGCCGGCTGCACGCTCCAAGGGGTCTGATGAGTGTGGGCTGCGTGCACGGTGGCCCGGCTGGGGGTAAGCTGCTGCGGCCACATGCTGTCTCCCTGCTCATGTAACACACGGGCAGCGCGGTCCCCACTCCTGCTCTCGTCTGCTGACAGGGCACGTGCAGGAAACAGGCTTATTATTTTCAGCAGCCGTCTGAAAACGGAGTCCCAACCCTTCTAAAATACCTCCCCTGAACAGGCCCCGCTAAGCCTGTCCTAAGCCTCAGCTCCTGGGAACTTCTCCGGGTTCTGCCAGATGGGCCTCAAGTATCCCAAAGTCAGCCACTGAATGGGACCATCCTCAGAAGTCCCTGCAAACAGTCAGCTGGTCGTCTGGTCCCATCTCCAGCCAAGTGACTCCACTTTCCTCACTAGAAACTGTGTCTCAGACAATGAGGAAGATCCTGAGACTCACGATCAGGGTCTTAGACTCCAAGGTCATTTCTGAACATGTGCCATTTCCCTGTGCAATCAGTTCTAATGGTTTTTAGCCCGGCCGGCGTGGCTCAGTGGTTGAGTGTCGACCTATGAACCAGGAGGTCACGGTTTGATTCCTGGTCAGGGCACAGGCCTGGGTTGTGGGCTCGATCCCCAGTGTGGGGTGTGCGGGAGGCAACTGATCCATGATTCTCTCTTATCATTGATGTTTCTATCTCTCTCTCCCTTTCCCTTTCTCTCTGAAATCAATAAGAATATATTAAAAAATAAAATAGTCGGAATACTTCATGTGCTGTGGGAAAGATAAAAATGTGTACATTGGTTCAGTTCTAAAGAAAATTTAGTTGTTTTAAAAAAATTTATTGCATATTCTCAGAACCTAACTGATTAAAATAAATGTGTGGGATCAAAACCCACCTGCTGTAACCCTCCTCACTTAAGATTTTATTGTGTGGAAATGGTGGGGCAACTATGACATGAAACAGACTTTTGGAATAAAATGCAATAAAATACAAATAGAAATACTGATGGACATTTACACATAATGGGTCCAGATAAGGGGTTTCCTCAAGGCTCCCACAGCTTCAAGCTGGGAGGGATGTGGGACCATTTGCACTCAGCTCTGCGCTGCTGAGGAGTCTGCCTGAGGCTGCGGAGCAGGTCAGAGTGAGCTGCGCCCTGGAGGCCAGGCCTGCCTGGGGGCAGAGGAAGCCGGTGCCAGGCTCCATCCTAGGGCCAGTCCCGCAGGAAGGACACGAGGACACGCTGCCCGCGGAGGGTGAGCTCTAGAGCCTGCTGGCCCGTGTGCACTTGCACTGGGGCTGCCCGTCAGGACAGATGGAAATGACAGAGGCAAGAGAGATGACAGAAGGGCCGTCGGTGTGTGCGGGATCGTGAGGCAGACTTACTTTCCGGAGGGACCCTATCTTTGTGCGGGCATCCGGACAGGCTGCGGTGATGCGGGTACAGCCCAGTTACGTGGCCAGTTCCATCGCACCCTGGGGTTGGACACTTGCTCTCTTTCTTTTCTGCTCTCGAGGGATCTAAAAGCGACAACAGGTGTCAAGAAAGTGAATCCTTTACCCACTGACGACAATGTCTCACTTCACACTCTGAAGAGACCTTGATGAGTAAAGAGACAAAGCAGGTGGCAGGGAGACGCCGTGGCACCGGGCTTTTGCGTAGGTCTTTGGCTTGGCGTGATTTCTGACCTTAAACAGTGTAATCATGAATCAGACAATATCTTGCTTTCTGTGCTAAAGAAAACAAGACTCTCCCTACTGCACTCTTGTTTCCCGTGTGTTACATGATAAGCTCACAGAAACCAACGGAATGAGACAGTGACCTTCTCAGAGAACAAAGCCACCCCGTGGTGGTTGCGCAATTGCTGTGAAATTCAACCGTGGGTCCTGCCATCCAGACACCCTTTGGCAGATGGCTTTCTTGTGGAGTGTCTGATTGTAGACAACACAAGGGACAGGTTTGCTGGTGTTGAAATGTATTCTCTGCAACACTGCTAGGTAGCACGTCAATTTAGAGATTTTCTGAAAATAAGCTGAACTCTCAGAAGGCACTGCAAGCAAATGAGCCCAGAGGCGGGACCCGCCTGACGACGTGCACTCGGAGCGGCCCCAGCGCGGCCGCGGCACCGGTGGCTCCTCTGCGTGCACGGGACTGAGGAGGCCCCGGGATGGACGCGTGCACGCAGGTCAGCGGCTCTGCAGCTGCTGGGGGAGGAGCCCGAGGCAGAAATGCAGCCATACTGCTCACATTTACTTCTATGCCCAGAGGGACCCAGTGCATGAACATGCAGAAATAACTCCAGAAATAGTCTAAGATAAAGCTCAGACCAAACAGCACCGTGAGTGTGCAGAACATTGTTTCTGAAAACCAATTGCACAGATTATCAACAGACAGTGAGTACTAGGACTTGATCCAGGGGTTCAGTGCTTTTATATTAATACTAGAGGCCTGGTGCAGGAATTCGTGCACGGGTGGGGTCCCTTGCCCTGGCCAGTGATCGGGGACAATCAGGGCTGTCTCGCCCAGTCCCCGATCCGGGCTGGCCGGCTGGTGGTGGGGAGGGACTGTGGAAAGTTGGTGTGGGAGTGCACTGACCACCAGGGGGCATCTCCTGCATTGAGCGTCTGCCCCCTGGTGGTCAGTGTGTGTCATAGCTATTGGCTGGTCATCAGGTCATAAAGGTTGTTTAGGCTTTTATATATGTAGACTAGAGGCCCGATGCATGAAATTTGTGTAAGAGTAGGCCTTCCTTCCCCCAGCTGCCAGCACCAGCTTCCGTCTGGCACTCAGGACCCGGGCTTCTCTCTGGCCACCGGCAGGCCCCCGGGACCCAGGGGCTTTCAGCCCCAGCTTTGTCAGGAAGGTCATCTGGAAGGACATCTGGTCTAATTAGCATATTATGCTTTTATTATTATAGATTTTATTAATCAAGCCAATCATGACTGTGAGAAATGTGTTTTACTTTTGGTAAAGTATTCATTTTATATAAAGAAAAAGCCTGGCTTAACATTTTTAAAAGCCTTAAGGACTTTTTCTTGAGTCCTTCATGTAAAGGGAAATAGACAAAGGGCTTGCAGGGACATCTACACCCTTTGTTTCTATAAAAGACCCTTTACTTGTAAGCTAGTGTGCTGCTCTATGGAACGTGGCTCTTCCAGGTCTGCAGTCTCTAAAACCAGCATTGATGTTGGCGAGTCCTAGATATGCTGTCTGCTGCTTCCTGACCTACTGGGGATCGTAGTCACTGGAAACAAATCTAAAAACAGGCTATTGTGATGTCAGCGTTGAGATGTCATGCTGGAGTGTCTCCTACATGCAACCCCGAAGCCTAGAGTTTCACTGCCTTGCGAGCAGTTTCATAATAACATCAGTTTACATTAATTAATGTAAATACCAAAGCACACAGGAACAGTTTCATAGGAAAATGTTGATTAAGGTCATAACCTAGATATAAATGACTTTAAAGGACAAAATGCAACTTTTAACTATTATTAATAATTAAGTGTCTCTTTTTCATCAGGACACTTAAGATTCCTAACAAATCATTCACAGATTTTGAACGTATTCTGAAGTCAAGGTCAGCTGTGTGGGCACAGTGTGGCTCAGATGGCCTCAGGTGCTGGAAGACACCGGGCATAATCTCCTCTCGATGTGTGAGCCGGGCTGGAGGTGCCACTCGCCCTCGCCACTACGCCCCCTGCTTTCTTATTTCTTGCAATCCCAATTCGTCTTGAAGGCAAACACTGGAGCAAACACAAAACCACCCAGCAAGCAAACAGACCAACAATTCAACAGCAAACCTCGAAGCAATACCCAAAAGACTCGTGTGCCGGGCTCAGCTTGCTCCTGCACCCGTCCAGTGAGGCTTAGGAAGCAGATAAAGGCGTTTCAGGATGAACCTCTTTTGTTTAGCTCAGGATTCTGGAAAGGTTACTGGCTTATCATTGACATCATTTTGAGAAGATTGCGTCTAAATGAGAATGGTACGCACGTTCCCTTCATCTTTAATAAAATAGCAGAGGAGCCGAGAACAGACTGGACGCTCTGGCCGGAGGGCTGCCTGGCCGTGCTGGTGAGAAGCTATCTTTTTAAACAGGGCGTTCATCTCTTTGCCCGCTCTGGGTCCTTGCCTGGCCACACTAACTTGGCTCTGACAAAACTATGGTAACTTCACAAGAAACTGGGACGGTGGGGAACACACTGACTGAGGAAGAAGATCTGGAACAGCTGGGCAGAGGCAGGGTCCATGCCCTCCAGCTCATCTGGAAAGTCCAAGTCCCAGCCCTCCCTACTCCTGGGGAAAAGCATATCTCAGCTCTACCGTTCATGCCCACCCCATCCCCACTGGTTTAGGGGAAGCAAGCCATCGGAATTCCATTTCTTACAAAAACCAAAAACCATACAAAGCAACCGTAACAAAACAAAATGAATCCATATCTACAGGAAACTCTGGGCTTAAAGGAGCCACGGAAACCAGAGGAGGGATGCCCCAAGGGCCCACGGCTCCATGCGGAGCCCACCACAGTCCACTGTGCAGACGTCTAGGTCAGAACCTAGCGCGTGGCCACCATGGCGGAGACACTATTTCTTCCTAAAAATGTTGAGATGATTCTCAAACATCTAACAAACCATTTCTAACAGACTCCACTATAGTCACCACGTACATGTGACCTGTCTTGGTCTTTACAGCACCAAAGCCAGCCCGAGGCTCCGCTGAGCGACACTCTGTGGCCTGAGCACAACCCCTTCCTCACGTCCACACCTGCCAGGCTCTGCCTGCACCCGCATGACTGAGTCGATACCGGGCTCGATTCGGGTCAGGAGCCGCAGGCCTCTGGCTCAGGCCGTGCCCAGGGGACCTGGGGTGGTGCTGGCCCTGTGCTGTGGGGCCACGTGCACATTGAGAGGAGAATACACACGATGTCACAGCAGAGAAAGCAGGTTTTCCTTTGAAGTTTACAGAGCAACTGATTTTCAAACCAAATTCCTGAACCTCACCGTCAGATCCCCGGGGAGGATCTGTGTTTATAAGGCATAGAATAGCAGATGACACAGAGGATCTTGTTTGGTGCTCATCTGGAGGGACTTAAGGAATCACCAATTTTATTCTTTAACTGGCTTCCTGAGTTCTAAGCGTCTGTAACTGAAACCTGCAGTGCCCAAGGTCTACTCGAGGTTGTTATAACCTGCCTCCTTCTGAAAGGAGACACAGCGGTTATTTCGAACATGAAGTCAATTGCTCAGGTTGGAATATACATATTAAACACAGTGACTAATATGCATGTAATTAAACATAGAGATGTATGCAAATATGTGCTCACATACCTCATAAATACAAACCCACGAACACTTCCACACGGGGAGGCTCTGACTGTTTCATGATAAAGTAACCCCGCAATTGTTTCCACACTGAACCGGATCAGTGAGGGGAGTGATTCTGTGAGGAAACTGCTATTGCTCTCAGCCTGGGACACACACGCCCTGCATAGCCAATGGCTCCAGCCGCCAAGCACCTACGATAATTAATGTGCAGTGCCTGCCCTTGTCTTATGTTATCGGTCCTTCTGTTACTGTTCAATTTCTCTCAGGGATGTTTTCTATGGGGGAGGTTTTATCAGTAACTGTCATTCGATGATAATTTTATAAATCGTGATGTTTAGAAGATGCACGTTCCACCCCGACTGACTGCTGCATAGACCCTTGCCACTCAGACTGTGGTCCGTGTGTAAGATCACAGCTCATCCTGATAGCTCCTACCACATGCACCAAGACATGCCTCTTCCACGGAAACATCCTGTTAGTCATCTGCTCTGCTAACATGACACTGAGCTGCGCTGTGTATTTCTCAGACATTGTATTTGCTCTTCAGAACCACAATCACAATCTGTAACTCTGGAATCGGCCCTAAGAAGTATGCATTAGAGATATAATTTACTGGGATGCACACTTAATTGTGGCCACATTGACATCTTTTACTCAGGCTCACGCTTTCACGAGGAACTTACGTAGGTAGAAATATTACCTTTACCATAGTATGGCTTTTTGACATGGCTGTCGCTGGGTTTGGGCTTCCTCTCCTCCCCGGGCAGCTGTCTTGGCGACTGCTCCTCATACGACCTCATACTGTCCCGCCTGCCAGCCTCCATGGCCATTTTCTCCCGCATGGCTTTCGCCCTCTCCGTTTCCAAAGCGATGGCTTTCTCCAGGAGGGTCAGGTTGCCCTTGGTCATGTCGAACACCTCCTCGGACCTGTCGGAGGTGACGGAGGCTGTGTCGTCATCTCTCTCGTGGTACCCGTCCTCCTTTGCGCAGCTGGAGAAAGTCCTCGACCTGGGGCTCAGCTGCTCCTCGAGCCTCATCAGGTTCATCATGTCCGAGTAGCTCCTGTCCGGCGTCCTGCCCGAGAAGTCATCCTCTGGCCGGATGTGTGGGCGGCCGCTGAGGCTGGGCTGCGGGTTCCTGTCCTGCGGGCTGGTCTCGCTCAGCTTGCGGGCCAGGTCGAAGCACTGGTTGCGCAGGCACTCCAGGCTGCTCAGACACACCTCCTCGTCGCTCTCCTCCACCAGCTTCTCCCCCAGCCCGTTGTTCAGGGGCTTCCCCAGCATCACGTAGTTCATGTTCCGACTGTCCTGCTGCGACATGGTGTCTGCGTAGCTCCTGTCGTTCATGTTCTCCGCCAGCACCACACCATGTCCTTGTGCTAGTAATTTCAGGGAGTCCACCGTTTCCCTAACGACATCACTGTCCAAGTCCAGACTCAACTCGCCTTTCCGACCCAAGTTCTCGTTTTTGTCACTGTCGTCTTCCAGGCTATTGGAGGTGTTGCTGTTCATCTCGGACTCCGTGCGGGCCCGGTACGCTGCGTCCTCGGCAATCTTGCCAAGATTCAACAAGGACTTGGCCACCAGCTCATCATAGTTATCATACTCATCATTATTATTATCATCCTTTTCTGTGTCTTGCATTATGCGACTACTGTGACAGTTCATTTGATGGTCTTCTGCAAAGAAAGTAAAAAAAAAAAAGGACAAAAAAGAACAGAAAAGAAAGAAGTGGAGGCTAGAATGTGAAGTTTAGCGGCAACAGCATGGACAGCAAGCTAACTGCAGTCAACTCTACACACCACACAGCCCTGAGGTCCCGCTGCGTGTTGACACGACGAACAGACTGCTCGACGGGAGCAGTTCAAAACACTTACATTCACTATTGACTTCCTTCATTAATCTTAAAATAAACAATTTAAAAATATTAATTTTTCATTGCACCTAAATTTTGAGAATGACTTTTCTTTTTTTAAAATATATTTTATTGATTTTCTACAGAGAGGAAGGGAGAGGAATAGAGAGTTAGAAACATCGATGAGAGAGAAACATTGATCAGCTACTGGGGATGTGCCTACTGGGGATGTGCCCGCAACCAAGGTAATGCCCTTGACCGGAATCGAACCTGGGACCCTTGAGTCCGCAGGCCGACGCTCTATCCACTGAGCCAAACTGGTTAGGGCAAGAATGACTTTCTTTATTGGCTTTATGTACTTGCAGCCCAACCAGATATGCCACAGTTACACTCATCATCACTGGGCTTTGTGAGTCCATGAGCATCCCCGGTGTCAGCTCATAGACAGATGTGCGCAGTGGCTGCTTTCGAAGGGTTTGCTTCCCAGTGGTGCTCAGGTGGCGCGAGGAAAGCCCGGGTCCTGAGGACTCACACAGAGGATACACCTACTCTGCACTCGGGTCAGAAGCACATGTCTGGGCTGAGTGAAGAGCTATTCTGACTGTGGCACCTCGGAGGTAATTTATCAGAAGGCACAGTGAAGCAGCAGGAATGCCACAGTAAGATTCAGAAACAAAATCTGATGAACTGAGACTCCTGTACGAGTATCTCAGTGGGCGTGAGGACGTGGAGGGAGGAGGTCCGCAGTGCCCAGGAGCCTGTGAAAAGCAGGACGGAGGGGAGCTGGTGCCATGGACCCACATCCAGCACAGCCTTTGCCTGACATGCAGCACTGCCAGTCACCTCTCATGGCCTCGGGAGAAGCTGGGTGAGCCGGTAGAAATAATGTGTGACTGTCACATCCAGTCTCAAAAAAGCACTTAGGAAAACTGTTGTAGAAAAAAGACCATGCTAAAAATGACAAACTGCTACGTTCCATCTGGAGTGCGTCCTGTCTGACACTGACAGGCCACCTGGATGCACCTCTTTCCATGCTGCACAGCCGCTCTGTGCTCACCGTGGACACGGGCGGCAGTCAAGGCCTTCTCACCTGGGCCCCTCCCGCCCCTGAGACTGGGTATGGGAGCTGCACTGTCACACCTGTTGTTTCTATGATTAAAAAGCCAGACTGAGAAGATGGTGGAAGGTTCACTAGTGAGCTGAAGGAAGGAGGGGCGCCGACCGCGGGCTCTCCCTGTGCCCAGGGCATTCTCCATGGGTTCCTGCCATTCCCGCAGGAAGGCCTTCTTTGGGAGCAGATTTGTACTTCGACACGTTAATAACAGAAAACATCTCTCTAGCCCACACACTTAAACATCTAACACATCCGTCTAAACATCAGCAAATCAAATTTGCCACGCATTAGTCACAGAGCATCACCAACTGTCTGCCGCAAAAGCGGTCCCTCTCCTGGCTCATTCCTACCAAGCATCTCCCCAAGGATAGGACATACGCAGTCCCAACGGGCGGCGGGAGGGGGGACCCCCAACCACAGGCGCAGGAGAAGCCTCGTGGGCGTGTCCACCTCACATAGGCGTGTCCACCTCACGTGGGCGTGTCCACCTCACATAGGCGTGTCCACCTCACGTGGGCGTGTCCACCTCACATGCGTAGCACAGCCCTGGCCCAGGGCTCACGCTGTTAAGAATTGTAGGCAACCTGTTCTAGTGAAGTTCTGAAATACCAGCTCTGTTCCCTCTCGGCGTGTGCACTCTGAGTTCACATTCATGGGCTTTGACCAGAGGAGCGGCGTCAGGACGACCGGCGCGTGGCCGCCCCACGATGGTAACTGGGGACCTTGTAGCCAGTGCCAGCCACTGCCCCTACAGAGAACCGGCCACGAGTAGAACAAGAGAACCACGTGCCATCCTGAAGCACCCGATCGCCTGGTCAAAGAAGACATCAGTCAGAGAGGGTTGACGACTTCCATGATGTTTCTCTCAGCGTGCTCTCGGGAAACACATCCTATCACCCTAAAGAACTTGGAAGGAAGAAAACCCACGGGAACAGTGAGAAAGAAGAGACAACACCTGTGTCATGTCCTCGCTCTCCCTACCCCACAGGGAGGGCTGCCCGTGGAACATGGCAGCGGTCACACTGAACTCATGACCTCCCTGCCAACCCCACTGGGAGCGTGACTGGTGGATTCACATCCCAGGAGTAGCTGCAGCCCATCTGTCCCCAGAAGGGGTTGGTTTCTGCTGCTGTCTCTGGGCCTCCCAGCAGCTCCCCCGTCATCACAAGGCTGAGGACCATGTCCCCCTGTTGATGGTCACCCCCACCCACTCATAAGTCACCTTCCCCTCACACCGATGAATGAACTCGGTCCAGGAAAAAGCGCTGGGGGCCGACACCCACTGTCATGTTCCGTAGCGGGGCCTGCTCTGTGGCATGGCGGAGGGAAGCCGCTGGCTCCCATGGGGCCCTCGTGTGCCGGTGTGGATCCCCCTCCGTGTGCCGGTGTGGGACCCTCATCTCTCCTGCCCTGAGGAGAGCTGGGCGTCACCATCCCACCTCCTGCCTCAGGAAGACCTATGGCCGTGAGGTCAAACCTCCCACATTCGGAGGCAGGAGAATTCTGCCTGATGGGGTCAAAAGAATGCGTGAGAAATCATTACAAATGTTTAAAGAGATCAGCTTCTTCATTTTAAATGTTGTCAATTTTATAAGCTAAAACACAAACAGAAGGAAAGGCAACAGTTTTCACAAGCGCTCTAAGTTGCATGATAACTGTAATGAAGAAATTGTAAGTGATGTTTCTTTCTTAAACTCTATTCATTAGGGTTCTAAGTGAATGAGAAGTGACTGAACGACATTCATTTACTCACTAAGTTTTGGGGATCTGTGTCCTGGATGGCCTGGTAGGTATCCAGCTGTTCTAAACTTGGGGACTTACAAACAAAAAGGTCCTTATATCTTTACCCACAGCAACGAGCTGTTCCTAGTCCACATACCTGAGACAGACTGAGACACGCCAACCAATTGTATCTCCCCTCCCCCCCCCACACACACGCGCACACACACACACACACACACACACACACGCACGCAGAGTTCAGGGAGTTTCTAAATTACCTGGACTGCCCTGAGCATCTCCGGCCCAGCAGAGGGACAGAGTCTGTGACAGTTTGGTCCTTCGGTTTACAGACGGCCTGAGCGATATGGCTGCCCCACCAGGTGTGTCTGATTGGGAGGGAACTCGGGGACCTGGGACCCTGCTCTCCATTTCCAGTCGCTGTGTGTCATCCCCGTCATATAGGAAAGAATCTCATCTGTCTCCAAAGGCCCTTCAAAAACACGACACTGTCTGTGGTGACACAGTCGACCAGTCTTCAGTGTCTGGGAGCTTTTGTTTTCCTGTTCAACTCGCATCTGCCAGCCTCCACCGGGGCTCACGCCGCCAGCTCTGCCCTTGGTGGAGAACACAGCACATGTTCCTGTGCTCAGTCCTCTTGCCTGCTCTGCTGTGTTTCTCTGGGGCAAAGGGCGATGCTTATTTAGTGCCTGTCCCCAGGGAACGCAGAGCACTGTGGGGACATAGAAACGCATCCTGTCTTTCTGAGATGAGCTGCAACGATGCTCTGCATCCTTCACATGAATGCAGGCATTTGCTGCACAGACCACGGCCTCACAGGGAGCCGGAGCGTGTGCAGGGCGGGCGGACCACGCCGCAGCCCCACTACAATGCTGCCTCACGGCTCTGAGCCGCTCACCTCTCAAGAGCATTCGTCTGGAGGGCGACTTCTCTAAGCTTCGGAACAAGACAGGAGGTGACTGAAGGGAAGTGTTACCGTCCTTAGTTTGGAAGCCAAAGTGAGGTCCCAGAGAGTCAGGGACTTGCCCAAGACAAGGGTCCGAGCAGCGGGAAGACTCCCCTCGTCCCTGGGCTTTAAACTGAACGCTGACCAACTAGCATCTGGAATAAAAACCAAATGAACAAAACAAGGCAAAGAACCTGGGAATTCCTTCATACAGACCTTAAAAACAAATGAATAAACCACAGCAGACTTAGTCTCCTACATCTTTGATTTCTTGTTATAGAGAAAAGATTTCCCGCAGTATTTAAGCCTGCTCCTTGCATCTTGAATGTACATTACATTATATTCTCAGCAAGCTTTCTGGCCTGTATCAGTATCTGACGATTCATAAAATATAAGATATAATTATATTTTGTAATTATACAACATTAGTTTGCATGAAGGAAGAAGTTTTTTATCACAGATTGATATCTAGAAATGTCTAATTCTGCCTTTACTCAATTAGAAGTCATACAGCCATACACTTCACCACATCCACGTGCTAAACTCCCTAAAACCACGCCTTCCTGGGTGTAGGGAGAGATTAACGTTAAGATATAAAAAATCATGAGATCGTTTCTCCCAACGGTGCCCCCGCCCCTCGCAGTGGAAACCCTGCACACGAACCACGCATCTTTGTTCCCGCCTGGGTCTCAGGCTCACTGCCTTGGCGCCGACTGCAGCAGAGGCCGGCGGCTCATCCTGACTGCCGTCTGCCTGCATCTCAACAGCCCCGTCCTCAGGGACGTGCCCCCGAGAACCCTGGGGAGGATGAGCGGCTCATCAACACGAGAACAACACCCGCAAGGGGGCCGACCTCATCGCCTTCCTCCTGTCACTGTCTGACGGAAAGGCAGGCCCAGCTACTGCAGATCGTCAGGACACTAACCACCTGGGCCCGGGCATCGTCCTGTTAGAAAGAAAACGTGTCCCGGAAATTCTGCAATTTTTAAAAAAAATTTGTTCTGTGAAGAGAAATTTACACAGG